GACAAACAGATTTAAAAGTGCATGATGGATTACGTGGTTAAAAACCTCCTTTTTTTCTTTTTGTATTGTGCTTTTCTCATTTGTTTCCAGTAAAGAAGATTGAAAGTCACCTTAATGTCCATTTAAGCACAGTGTTATTATGTGCATAAGTAAAGAAAAAAAAGTGTTGGTGCCTCCTTGTAAATATATAAGACAAAAATGGGACAAGGAATATGGATCCATTGATGCAAAGTCTATCTACAAAATAATGCGATGTTTGCTTTTAAACATGCTATAGGTTCTTGTAGAAAGAAAAGCAAATATCACAGAATATGGATTTTAAATAATCGTTATTTCTTCACGTATTTCCCTTTAAATTAATCAAGTATAGCAGCTGGTCTGCAGCTTCCCGTCCTGACGCACATACCGGCATATTTCGGGTGATAAAGATACGTCGTTTAGATGTCATTTAGAGGTAGGGAAGACGTCTCATTTAACAGCTCAAACAGCCGATCTACAGATGATCAAAATAAGACTATAAAAAAAATCAGATGTTTACAAGATTATACGCTCTTTAGCAGACGTCTCCGCGATGTACGTGTGCTATCTGGGTTTTGTGCGGGATTCATTTAGAGGTAGGGAAGACGTCTCATTTAACAGCTCAAACAGCCGATCTACAGATGATCAAAATAAGACTATAAAAAAAATCAGATGTTTACAAGATTATACGCTCTTTAGCAGACGTCTCCGCGACGTACGTGTGCTATCTGGGTTGTGTGCGGGATTCGGCTGTGTGCGCTCAGAAAACCGGACCGAATTAAGCGCTCTTTCGTGTCGTCACACTTTTCAAATGTATCCATATTGTGCTCTCTTACTCCCAAGGCGCTGACATTTTTTACATTTTAGGAGACATGCAGCAAGTGTATGCAAACTTATGATCAGATTCAGAGCGTTACAGTTCACATGTGTGCATCTCCCCTCCTTTCCACGATTAGTTCTGACTGAATGATCTCTGTCCAATTGTCCCACCAACATTTTCGTCTCATGATCTACTTACTGTGAATGTTTTTTGTATGTCTGTGTAAAGCAGATGAATGACTGAAACACTTCACACATGCAGTGCACTTGTAAGTTTTCTCTCCAGTGTGGATCCTCTCATGTGTTTTCAAATGTGTTGAAAGACTGAATCTCTTCTCACAGTGTGAACACTTATAAGGTTTTTCTCCAGTGTGAATCCTCTCATGCTGTTTTAAACTGCTCGCTGAAGTAAAAGTCTTTTCACACTCAAAGCACATGTACTCTCCCACACCAGTATGTATTTTCTGATGTCTTTTCAAATATTGTAAACATGAAAAGCTCTTTTCACACAAATGACATGAATGTGGCTTCTCCTTTGTATGAACTCTCTGGTGTTTCTTCAGGTCTGAAGCTCTCAAAAATGTTGTGCCACATTGATCACATGTGTACAGTTTCTCTCTAGTGTGGATGTTCATGTGTATTTTAAGGCTTGAAGATTGTGTGAAACTGTTTCCACACTTAACACAAGTAAATGGTTTGTCTCCAGTATGAACTCTCATGTGTTCTGTAACGTTTCCTTTTTGTGTGAAACTCTTTCCACACTGATCACATGTGTATGGTTTCTCTCCAGTGTGAATCCTCTCATGCAGTTTTAAACAGCTCACTGAAGTAAAAGTCTTTTCACACTCAAAGCACATGTACTCTCTCACACCAGTATGTATTTTCTGATGCTCTTTCAAATGTTGTAGACGTGAAAAACTCTTTCCACACAAATAACATGAATGTGGCTTCTCCTTTGTATGAACTACCAGGTGCTGTTTCAGG